CAGAGATGGAACGATGCATGCAATAGTATAAGGACTATGAAATCATAATAGGTTAAACCCAAACCTAGGAATCACGTTCAGAGTTGCAGTCTTGGTAGTGAGGCCTTCTGAGAGGCCCATCAAAGCCAGTATCACCCCAACAGATGGATGTGATTATCCCGTGACTGGTCCATGGTATCTGTGGAAATGTGATAACTTGACAGTTTTTAAATTTTATCTGACAGGTGAAAATCCTGTGATTTTTAGATGCCAGCTTTATGTTACCATAATTTAAACCTACAAGGATCCTAAGAGTAAAACACTGAAAACTACATAAGGAATACGTCCTAGTTTCACACTATGTTAAACACTCCATTGAACACCCCACCCAGCTGTTTCACAAATACAGCACTGGTCCTTTAAGGGGATGAGGAAAATCTGCTTCGTTTTTTGTCTTGGGAACTCCGTGCTCCCTTCATATTAGCAGTGTTTATGTAGCTGTCTTGGGCTTTGCTAGCTGGCCAATGGTACATCTGTCTGGCTTGTAGTGCCTTCCTTTGTTTAGACAAAAACCTACACCCCAACAGTAATAAATCCAACTCTCTCTTGAGTGAGAGAGGAGTTAGGGAGAGAACCATCAGAAATTAGGCTGAGCCACTGTCTCTCTGACTGTAATTAAGGCCAGGGTAAGCATTTTAGCTCTTAGGTTCTCTAGCAGCCATCCAGCAGAAGGTTCTGCTATTGCCCCAGTTTTGCTGAGCACACACGGAAATGTTGTTGACCGAGGAAATAGTGTTTGCTGATGTTTTGATCAGAAACACTTCATCCACCATTCTGCCATGTGTTGTAGCTCATTCCTCACATCCGATCATCCCCTTTTAAGGACCCTGGACAGATCCAGTGGCCTCCTTTTAAAATCACATCCATCTTTGCCTTGTGGACTCTGAACTATAGAATGTGTGAGCGTTCCTTTACCCTGTATGTGTTCACAAAGATGGCAAGCACTGTGTCAGCCCAACTGTGGCAGAGGTCATAACTATGAGAAACTTCAGCTTCATCTAATACATCCACTAGGCTCTAAAATTCATGCTTCTCCCCCACCCCATTTTTCTTACACAACTTCTATCTGGTCTTCTTATACCCTATCATGTGTATGCTTGAATCTCTTTTAAAAATGGGACATGGAGTGTGTATAAATACTGGTTGCAGATATGAAGTAAGAAGCTTAAAGAAAACTTGGAGCCTGTAAAGTTTGGAGGGGCAGGTCTCACCCTACTCCAGCATGGATAGGGGAGGGGCACGAAGTCCGACTCCTAGCCAAGGAGTTATAGACAATGGACAGCTGATGAGGGAGGGAGAGTCTTTTTTTTTTCAGGGATTCAGTCCCTGAGAGGCTGTCCATGCTCTAGGACATGGTCCCACATCATTGCACCTACAGGAAGCACTGAGTGGACTCCATAAATTCTTTTCTAAAATGAGCACATGAGGGGCTGGAGAGATGGCTCAGTGGTTAAAAGCACCAGCTTCTCTCGCAAAGGAACCAAGTTCAGTTCTCAGCACTCACATAGTACCCCATAGCCCATCCTGGGGACCCTACACCCTCTTGTAGCCCCTAAAGATACCAGGCACAAACATTGTGCATCATCACCATAAACATAAGTACGCGTACATGCAAAATATAAATAAATCTTTTAGAATGGGCACATGAAGTTGTGAAGGACGTGCAAAATATAAATAAATCTTTTAGAACATGAAGTTGTGAAGGATGAGTAGGGAGAAATGAGGGATGAATTGGAGGGGAGGGAATTGGGGGTGAATTTGATCAAGGTATTATATATATATATATATGAAATTCTTAGACTATGCAAAATTAAAGAAAGAAATCTTACATTGAGATCCCTCAAGTAAAGAGCTAGGTACGCAAGCTACACTTACAAAACCAAATCTGTCAATCGAAGGATAGACAACACAAAATCCGATATCTACCATGTAATGAAAGGTGTGTCCCCTGTGAGTAGAAGAGGGAAACCTTTGGAGTAGAGGAAGACAGTAGCGGGAAAGGAGGTTAGGGCTGAGTGATGACATGGTGGGAAGGGTGAAGAACACAGTGTAATGGCGTGGATGCAAATCTCTAATGCTAACTTTTAAAAGAGGGCTGGAGAAGAGTCTGGAGATTGCACAGCTCTTGTGGAGGACTCCAGTTTGATTCCTAGTGCCATTTCAGTAGTTTACCAGTTGCAGCTCCAGCTCCAGGTGACACAATGGCCTCTTCTGGCCTCTACTAGCATCTACACACACACACACACACACACACACACACACACACACACGCATGCACGCACGCACACATTTTTTAATAGCTACTATGTGTGCCAATGATAAACCACAAGCTTTAAAACCAAAATTAATTTGATAAAAAAAATATATCCACCAGATCTTTTGGTCATCAATATTACTGGTTGTCATTAATAATGTGTGATTACACTGATTATTTTGTAAGGCCATGTAACTCAGGGAAGCTATCTTACAAATGACAGTGTCCTTTATAAAATCATGCAGGGGTTAACAATAAGCTCCACTGAAAGTAAAAACCACATCAATGAGCCTTAATATAGTTAAAGTGGTATTTGGCTGTGGCTTCAGACTTCTGAGCTGCCGTGACCTTTGGAAGCGACACCTTGTCAAGTGTTGCCACATCAAGGAAGAACAGCTACATTCCAGAGAGGTTATTCCCATAATCCACACTTCCCCCATACTTATTCATACCATGAGTCATAGCAGCTAGTGCACTGGAAGTAGATGGAAGATTAAAGATGATGATTTGCAACACAGCAATGACAATCTTCTGGTCATTTCCCATAATGTTAGGTTAATATATAATCAGTGTGTTACTGTTACTTAGAAATGCATTTGCAAGTAAATGCTTCTAAACTTCTGTTTTATTTCTGGTACAATAATTGTCAAGAGAGGAGATCTACACTATAAAGCTCTTTAGGCTCTTCAATTATTTCTGAGAATGTGTGGCCTAAGACCAAACTTTAGAGAGAGCTACCATAGAATAGCACAGACCAGAAGCTACAGGGAGACCTCACAGCCAAATGTGAGGGGTTTCACAGTGGCGAGAACTGTCAGATGGAGATGCATATTTGACTATGTGCTTGATGGGAACTGAGTATCAGGGCAGTTAATAGATTTGCTGTGGAGGAGGTAGAAAACCCCTGAAGATGGTCTTTCTATGTTCTCTCTGTGGATATACTGATGGGCTCAATATGTTTTGTCTTTCTCTAGCCAAATTGTCTTGTATACTGTTTATTGCCTCAAAATATGAATATGTATAGTGTCACTAATGGAAACCCCCCATTCTTGGCTAGATGTCACTCACCCCTACTACTGCAAGCTCACAGAAACTTGTAGAGGGAGCCTTCCAAGCACATGACACATGTGTATCAGAATCACCCCAGGCATAACGCCTCACATAGCCCAATGAAGACCCTACCCTGGCCCCTGAGCACTGAGCTGGACCTCCAAGTAAGGTTGCCAAGAGCTCCTTTTGTGGCACCATTCCCAAGGCTGTGTCCTTAACTATGCAAGAGTGAACGCTAGCTAAACAAGCCAGCAAGACTATGGGTGCCTTCATTTGTCTCTTCTCTTGAGAGTGAATGTCTGTGACTAGCTGCTTGGTTGCTTCACCCAAATGATGGTCTGTAACTTAGAGTTATAATCCAAATAAACCACTTATTTCCTTATTTTTTTAACTATTCATATAGTTAAAAAGCAGCTCTGTAGCCAGGGTCCCAGGTACTTTCACCAGTCCTTAACTTACTGAGTGAACTGGAAATATCTAATTGTAAAATGATGCCAGTGAATAGAAAAAGGTAAATTCATCATCCATCAGGTTAAAATTCCATGAGCCTTGGGCTGGAGAGATGGCTCAGTAAGTAAGGTACCTGAGAGCGAATCCTTAGCACCCAATTAAAGGCCAGGAATAGTGGTAGGAGGCTATAATCCCTGTGCTTGGGATGGGACAGGGACAAGTTGATCCTAGAGCTCATTGCTCAGCCAGCCTTGCTGAAAAGATGAGCTCCAGCTGACTGAGAGACTGTGCTTCAAAAACTGAGGTGTGGAGGGATTGAGAAAGACACTGAGCCATCAGCCTCTGGTCCTGATCTGTGCACAACCCACTGGCATACTTACACCACACGCACGCGCGCGCGCACACACACACACACGTATGGAATCCATTGTTCAGTTGTTCAGGCATTTACTCTTCTACTTGTTATGACAAAATACTGTTGGCTGTTGGAATTTAAAAATCAAGAACTTTTTAATTACAGAAACTACTCTCTTAAGACCCATTTCTCTATTAAGAATATACAGTGCTTACTACACACTGGCTTTCTAGTAGTAAGTTCTTTTGTAAGGCTAGGAAGAACTCTATAGATGGTGTTAATTTTATTCATACATACATACATGTGTTTAGCTCTATGATTTTTCCTTTCTATTCTTTCTTGAACCCTCTCTTCTGAGGGTCCTCTTACTTGACTGTGCTGATCTCTTGTATTAAATTTTTAGACAACCACACAGCTCTGTACTTTCTAAAACTGAAGGAGAGACCACGTAAGCATATAATGGACATTTTTCAGTTGCATTAAAATTGTGAATCAAGTCAAACTTTTTAAATTTCTGCTTTGCGTTATGGTGTCTTGGCTATGCTGCTGAAGGTTTTAAAAAAATAACAAGACTATAGTGGTTTAGCGCAATAAAGGTTGGTTGGGTTATTTATTTATTTATTTATTTATTTATGCCATAACAAAGTTGGCTGCAGGCTGGGTAGACGTGTGGAAAATACCACTCCTCTTTCTCATGGCTACCCAGGCTAAGGAAAGGGCTGTGTCTGGCCACTGTGCCTTCTGTTTTAACTTCCTGTTTTCAACAGCCCACCAAGGGTTACCTGCTTCTGTCACATGGCTTCATACAAGCCCCATGGCCAATAGATTTCTTTCTCTGCTTGTTTTTATCAGGAAAAATTTGAGGGACTGTTCCGGACTTATGATGAATGTGTGACGTTCCAGCTGTTTAAGAGTTTCCGACGTGTCCGAATAAATTTCAGCCATCCCAAATCGGCTGCCCGCGCACGGATAGAGCTTCATGAGACCCAGTTCCGTGGGAAGAAGCTAAAACTCTACTTTGCACAGGTAACTTTTCACCCTGCTCTTTTGGCTCAGCTGTCTAGAGTACTCATTGCCTTTGCAGAAGAGACAGATTTGATTCTTAGAACCACATAGTGGTTCACAAACATCTAGTGCCGTCTTCTGAGCCCTTAGCATACCAGGCACACATCTGGTACATATATGTAAATGTGGGTAAAGCATTCATGTATACAAAATATAATCTTTAAAAGCCGTTGTTAATTTAAAAAGCAACGCATTAAAATGTAACTGGGGACCTAGAGAGATAGTTCAGCAATTAAGAGTACTGGCTGCTCTTCCAAAGGACTAGTGTTTGATTTACAGCACTGTCTGAAACCCCAGTTCCTGGGGATCCAGTGCATTTTTCTGGCCACAGGCTCTGCACACATGTGAATTGGTTTGCTGCTATAATTAGTTCACTAAGAAAGAAACTCATTGGTTGTATAAGACCTGCACAAGATAGGCCAGTCTACATTCCAGCATGGAGGGGCAGGGGAACCCTAAAGTGGTAGACCTTACCTCTAACTGAGGGGCTTTTGACAGCTGATGGCTGCTAGGAGAGGAGACAGTTTCTCTAGTAGGTTGACTATGTTCTGGTGGATGGCCCCCTACCCATGGACAGCACTAATTATACTCAGGGGCTATGAAAACATAAAGAACAAGAGGCTGGAAGGGGAGATGAATAGCAGCAAATAGGATCAAAATACATTTATACATGTACAAAATTCTCAATCACTTACATTTTTAAAACAAGAAAATAAATAGACACAGCTCATGAATGACAGATAGAGCAGTGCCTGTGTCTGAGGACAGGGGCTCTCAGAGCTGTCAAACTAAGCTCCAACCAGAACAAGTCAGAGAAGCTCACTGGGACTCAGAGTCCTCATCTACGAGATGGAAAGATGACATCATCAACCCATACAGCTTTCATGATGATGGCATGGAAGAGTATGCACAGCAGTGCCAGGATTCTGGTTAAGGCACAATAAATTCCAGAGCTGCAGTAGAAAGTATCTCACCACAGTGACTCCTAACCTTCCTAGAAAGGGTTATGATTAAAATTTAAATGGTAGATTTGATGGTCTGCTAAAACTACCTAATGATTCAGATTCATGATGAAGAGTTATAAATCTATGAAAATTAATGTTATGCTTTGCAAAACCAAATGGTCACTATTCTAAATAAGGATGGGTAGTTCTTGGGGATGTTCATGAGGTCCACAACACTGGACAGTCAGTATCCACTATCTCCATCAAGGCCCCATTCATCACTAGGCAATAGTCATCTCTCAAATGATCTGTGAGTGGGATTCCAACCTTGGACCACACAAACATAGCACAGTGGAAAGATCTCAAGCATCAGCCTCAGACTCTTGCTAAAACCCTACATCTCTTATAAATTTATAAGACAAAGCTAGGACAAATCTCATCATCATTTACTAAAACCTGCATCAGGATTGGCTGTGATGATGTATGCCTGTAATCCCAGCATGCCAGAGCCTGAGGCAGGAAGACCTTGCATTCAAGGCCACTCTGAGCTACATAGTGAGACCCTGTCTCAAAACAAAAAAGACTCTATGTGTATATATATATATATATATATATATATATATATATATGTGTGTGTGTGTGTGTGTGTGTGTGTGTGTATTTATGTGTGTGTGTAGTATATGATAGATTAGGTTCCATTAACAGATAATATTGAGTTACCATGTGGCTCGGCAGTACTCTTCTGGGTACTAAAAATAGGGAACTCAAACAAATACTTAGGCAGCAATATTCTTAGCAGCACTGTTCACAATAAGTCAAAAATGAGAACAATCTAAAGTTATTCAACTGATAAAAGGATAAAGAGCTGTGATATATTCATACACAGGAATAGTATTCAGCTGTAAAAAAGAGCTATTAATAACCCATCACCAAGTAATGGGCCTTTAAAATGTGTTGGGAAGCTAGACACCAAAGCTCACCTGTTCTGTGGTTCTAGTCTCATAAGATAGGTAAAGTTCAGAGAAGTAGACAAGCTTGACAACCGTCAAGGTGTAGTAGGACACTACAGGGGTAGTCTTTGTTTAAGGGATGCATAGTTATCCTTGGGGCAATGGGAAGGGTCAGGACAGTGGTTCTCAACCTTCCCAAACACTGTGCTATGACCCTTTAATACAATTCCTCATGTTGTGGTGACCTCCAACCATAACATTATTTTTGTTGCTATTTCATTAAGTGTAACTTTGCTACTGGTATGAATATAATGTAGGTAACTATGTTTTCTGGTGGTCTTAAGTGACCCCTGTAAAAAGTCATTTGAGTTATAAGTCACATGTTGAAAATCACTGTGTTAGGAGCTCAATAGGATTGCAGCAGTGTGCAATTGAAACAAGCAAACCAACCGAATCAGAAAATGAGCACACGGTGTACCGTAAGAAGGGATTACCATTGAAATCTGGCTGTCAGTGAAGCCCTGCCCAGCTGAAGGCATGGACGATCACATGTCTGGTTCTCCTCCATTTGAAAGGTCCAGACCCCCGAGACAGATGGAGACAAACTGCATTTGGCACCCCCACAGCCTGCCAAACAGTTCCTCATCTCGCCGCCCTCATCTCCTCCTGTGGGCTGGAAGCCCATCACTGATGCCACACCAGTACTCAACTATGACCTCCTTTATGCTGTGGCCAAACTAGGACCAGGTAAGCTCTTGGCCCTTCTTAACACGAAGTATTTGTCAGCAACCTGCCAAACAAAATGAATAAGCGTGCACGCACAGGTTTCCTGTCACAGCTACATTTCTAATGGTGCCCTTGCTCCCTGTGGACGCTGGGGCTGGGAGGGAGGGATGATGGATGAGAACGCAGTGCCCAGCTCTGCACTTTCTGTAGAGCAATGCAGGGGCCTGCGCTAAGAAGACTGTGATTCCAGGTTGTAGTGCAAGACTTTAATGCAGAGACAGTGACCCACCCAGAGCTGGGATTTCTCTGTGCACCCTGAGGTCTTCAGAGAAAGAAAGACGCTCTCTCAGAGGTGAGCGCCTCATCCAAATGAAGACTTCCAAGTCTAGTAAGAAATCAGTGACAGTAGCCTCTCTCCATATACATACACAGAGAGAGGGGGAACATATAATTGCTTTGTTCCAATGTTAGTACATCTTAGCTTATTCGTTCATTGCAGTTACAGGTATAACTACTATACTTTACTTCCCCACTCCTCTGTGGATGGATGTTTGCATTATTCTCAAGATTTTGCACTGCCGTCAAGGATGCTGTTAGCATTCTTGTACATGTCTCTTTCTGCACTAGTCTGATGTTATTGCAGATTTTACATCCAGCAGTGATACCATCTCCAATTTCAGCTGGCGAAGCTTCTTTGTGCTCCAAATGACTTTTCCTTGTCTTCTTCAAAGAGAGGAAGTGATTGGAAAGGGAGGGGCTAAAACTAACACTCTAGAGATGGAGGATGAATGCTGGCTCTCAAGTCAGCTGTTTGTGCAGGTGATTCCTCTAGGGTGAGTGGGGATTTAAAAAACACAACCCCAGTAGATTGACTCTACCCTAAGATAGGTCAAGTCCAGAAATCTCCTGATTCTAACCTACAGGTGAGTTCAAGAGCCACTGGCACCTAAATTCCAAATTCTAGGAATTATGAACTTACAATACAGTCTTCCTAGTATTTCTTACACAGTCATGGAAATGTCTGAACCAGAGTCACCCATCCCAGACATCCAGATTCTCATATATCTCACCCTTTGCCAACCATGGGAATTGGAGTGAGCAAAGGTCCTGGTTTGCCAAGGATGGGAAGATTGCTGGGATGTGGGCTAAACCAGGCAATTCACAGGAAGAAACGGCTACCTTACTGTGTTCTTGGATGAAGATGGGGGTGATTTAGTTAATAAGCATTTTCTGTGAGAGAATGCATGGCCTTGGAGTGTGGAGCCTACCTCAGAAGAAAGCTTCTCCAGGTGGACCAATGAGCAATTTGGCTTCTGGGACCTTAGAAATGGCCATGATTTCACCCTCAGAGAGAGCCACTATGAGAAGGTGTATGTGTGCAGGATGGGCCTGTGAACAAGGTGATAGCATTTATGAGTGCCTTGTTCACTCCTTGGAGGCCTGAGTCTACATGGTCTCCACTCAAGGAGGGCCATAACTGTAGAGGGCAGTAGTAAGATGACACACAGAAAGTCAGGTTTGTTCAAATCAAGCCTTGGAAAGCCATTACCCATCACAGCAGGGAACCTCTCCAGCCCAATGGACCCTGAGGCATGCCAGCTTGACTCAGCTCTGAACATGAGCGAACATGTTGGATAATAGATCTTCCTGTAGAATCACCTGTAGGCTGTAGGCTGGCTGACTTGCACTTTACAGGACTGGAGACCAGGGACCCAGGGTAAGAACATAATTGCTGAGATCACAGCCAGGTAATCCCAAGGTTGTGCTTACCATCCTTCACTTGCATCATCGTGTGTGTGTGTGTGTGTGTGTGTGTGTGTGTGTGTGTGTTTGTGTGTGTGTGTGTGTTTGTGTGTGTGTGTGTGTGTGTGTGTGTGTGTGTGCGCGCGCGCGCGCGCGCCCGTGCAGGCGCCCATGTAAACCAGAAGTCAAACTGTATTACTGCTTTTCAGGTACCATCTACCTTTTATGCTTTAGGGTTTGTTTGTTTGTTTGTTGAGACAAGATCTCACTCTGCCTGGAACTCACCAAGTAACGAAGCTGACTGGCCAGTGAGTCTCAGGGATCCATCTGTCTCTACCTCTCCAGCACTGGGATTACACGTGTGCACCATCATGTCCGAATGTGTTCTGGAGATGAGGTGCTCATGTTTACATAACAAGCCCTTTACCTGTTGAGCCATATTCTATCCTGGTCTTTACTCTTCACCAAAGTGGCTCCTTGGTACAAAATTTACTGAGATTACAACTCAACTGCCCTGTGTTCCACTTACTTGAAATTGGTAATCCAGTAAAATTCTAGTCACTTTTTGGGTTTTATCAAGGATATGAACTTTTATTTGGAGTCAGTGTCAACAGAGAGTGGTACAGAGAGAAAATGAGGGCCAGACTTAGTCACCCTCACTGGTTCACAGTCCACTGTCTGAAATGATTGTCAGGGACATGTGTGACCTAAACAGCAGAGAGAGCGGACACTGGCAGCAAGGAGTAGGCCCCAGCAGGGATACTTTCTGGAACCTGCCACAGATGATGCAGGGAGGAAATGACCTCAGGCAGTCAGGAAAGGAGGGTGGCTCTTGTGAGAATCGAGCAAAAGTGATTGACAGCATCCAAATGCAGGGTAACCTATGGCCTTCACCTCCCTGCCTCATAGAAATGCACCACATAGCCTTTTGCAAGTGCCCCAGAGCTGTAGTCACCCCGTGTCACAGACTGGGGGATTGAGCTATGGGAAGACAGATGGGCTCCCCAGGGTGATGCTGCTGCTGGATGGTTCCGGATTCTCTTCTGATTCCGGGTCATGAAGCTCCACCCCTTGGCTAGATGCTCTTCTGTTAAGGATTATTGCCAACTTTAGGCCTGTTCCGCTTGTGTGCTGGGTAACTTCTGTTCTAACCCTGAGTTGGTGGTGATCTTCAACACCACTCCAGCCTTTCAGAAAGCCTGACCCAGTGTGGAGAGTGCACAATGATGGACCCATTCACTGCCTTGTGCAATGGCAGATGCCAAGGTCACCAACATCCAGGATTTCTTCCTCTGCAGGGTCAACTGGTATTGTGTCCTTGGAACATCTGCTGTCTGGATGGATTTTTTTGGACATTATAATCTGCATTTCTTGCCAGCAGTTTCTCTTTGCTTCCATATTCCATGTGGATAAATGACTTGTATCCAGTAATGGGGCTGAAAATGTCACAGGGGTCATATTAGAGGCCATCAACATCACTTCTCCATTGCTGAAATAGAACACCCAAGACTTGGTGATTCATAAAAAGGAAGGGTTTTGTTTCGGCTAGTGGTTCTAGAAGCTAGAAAGTCTAACACCCTAATGTCAGCATCTGCTCAGTTCATATGTCACCCAGAGGACACAAGGCAGCCAGGTATGGGAGAGCACACCTTTATTCCCAAGGTTTGGGAGGCAGAGGCAAGTGGATCTCTGAGCCAGCCTAGTCTACATAGCAAGTTCCTGGTCTGTATTCATTCAGATCTATATGGTTAGACCCTGTCTTTAAAACAAAACAAACCCACAGTTTGGGGCATACTCTATAGTAGCCCTCAGTGTGGTCACTAATCTAAGTCCCATGGAAACAAGATTGTAATTAATCTGTTCACTGGTACTCAGTCATCATCACCAAACCCCCTTCAACACTGCGGCAATCAGGAAGTGGAGGACCAGTGTGTGAGCCTAAAGTGGGCCCTTGGGCTGTAGTACAGGCGATTTCAGGCACAACAGGGAGGAATCAAGACTACACACTCCCTACATCCTCCTCTTCCCAACATGTCTGCCCTACCCTCCAACATAGCAAAATGACATAGCAAAGTAGAGAGATAGAAAGATAGATAGATAGATAGATAGATAGATAGATAGATAGATAGATAGATAGATATTTATAAATAGATAGACAAACAGACAGACAGACAGACAGACCAGTTGTTTTTGTTGTGGCACTCCACACAAATGTTCACTTCTCCTCATGGGTATTTTCTCTTGGTCAACTCTGGCTCTTCCCGGATTGTTTCAAAGGAGTATGTATGCTTTACTCACATTAGAATCCTCAGCTTCCAGACACATAGTAGATATTCAATAAATATTGGATGGCTGAATGCATAAATACATCAATGCTTCAGATGTTAGCCTGCTTAGAGATGATGTCTTCAGCAGCAAATTGTTGCTTTCTGTGTCTTTAGCGAGTCCTGAGCCAGATAGCAGTTAATTCATGTTTGCAATAACGAAAGGACTTTGAGCATTGCCATTAAAAATGATTTCATAAAATTCATTTCTTTAATCCTTTGGCAGAACCATTTCAGTGACAAATTATAACTCATTTCATGTTAAGGGTAACTATCTCAGTTCCAGATTATTTTTTAATATAATAGTTGCATTAATTCTTTGAGAATTTCATACATAGTGTTTTGATCATATTCACCCCTACCCCAGAGCCCCCCTCTCCCTCCCCACCCATTCTAACTTTGTATCCTTATTTTTAATAACCCACAGAGTTCCATTTTGGGCGTGGCCATCTTCTGAAACATTGGCAGTCTACCAGGGCCCACACCCTTTAACAAAACGGCCTCTCCCCGTAGCCTCCTCACTGGGACTGGGTGTCCATGCATCCCTCTCCTCTCCATACTAGGCCTGCCTTGTCCTTGTGAAGTCAGCTACAGCTCCTATGGGTCATGAGGGCAGAGGTGACGTGATATCCACAAGACACCCCATCCTTCCCACCTCTCACTCCTACAGTCTTTCCATGCCTTCTTCCCCATTGATCCCCGAATCCTGGGGAAGGGAATATGCACTTTGATCAGTTCTGAGTTTCTGCATTAAATACCATTCCCTGCACATACCCCAGGACTTTTTTGGAGGGTGCATTCTTTGCTTTACCAAAAACGGCCATTAGGGGCCTGCAGGACAGAATGTGCTCTCTTCTCTGTTCATGGGGCATTTACAAGGTCTATGAAACCAGGTCTTTCTGTGATTCTGACCCAGAGGCAGTAACATGGGTTCTGACCCGGAGGTGGGTGATG